CATGAAATTTTCTCCTTCCATGTTAGCGTGTCTATTGGTGTCATCCATATTTAGGTTTTGCTGAGGCAGCCATACTGATGTCACTTCATGGATGCTGCTTCTCTGACATTTCTAGATACAATCTCAAAACAAATCCCCTGATCCTCTGCCTCTTACAATCTTCCAGCCTCCTCTTCTGCTATCATCATCAAGCCTTAAGTGCAGGAGTTGTAGGCTGGGTACCACATGATCACTTTTTCTCTGCATTTTGGTTCTTTGTGGTTCTCTGTAATGGTCTCCATCTGTTGCAAAAAGAAGATCCTTTGATGAGGGGTGAGACCCATATTTATCTGTGGGTGTAAGGGTAAATATTTCAAATGTAGTTAGGAATTATGCTGGTTTAGTAAATTGGTTATTTATAGGTTTTCCTCCAAGATCCCTAACCACTAGCCCCAGGGAGTTTGCTAGGTATCTAGTACCAGACATGATTTTCTTGTTGTTGAGTGAGCCTTAAGTCTAACTGGAGAGTTATTGGTTACTACCAAGGTACTCATGCCACTAATGCACCCTTAGGGATATTGTGATATGCTGGTCATTGGTGTAGTTCAAAAGCATGTAACTGGGTAAAACCACTGGTTTTCTTCTCTTCCTTTGATGTTTACATGGCACCTTCTAGTATTGTGAAAGTCAGTCCTTAGGGAGTAGGCTTTTAGGTCAGATCCAGCATGGATGCTCTGGGTCCTGTGTTTGAAGTACATGATATTTTATCTTCAACCTCTGGGCAGTAACCAAAGACAACAGCAATAGTCTACAATGTTGTGGGAGTCTCTTAGACAACCCTGACCACCAATATCATCTATCTCGTAGTAAATCATTTCTGTAGTAAGAAGTTCAGCCTTGAATTTATGAACTACATCCAGTGATACATCCTTAAATCTGAGCCAAGTCATGGGTACTTTAGTTAGTCCAGAAGCTAAGACATTTATCTTCATTAGCTCTGAGTAACATTTAAAATGCTGTAAATGTTACAGAAGACAAGCCGTTGTACATAGGAAACAGGCACACTGACTTTCACACTTTGACCATCTTTGGTTTAGATATAAATCAGGACAACAGTCTTTTCCAACAAAATGAATGTTTCTCTTATCAATTCAATTAGGGGCTGTTTCCAACTGTCTCTAGATTTTGAAAATTTATCCCCCCTTAGACTTACTGACCTCTATCTATATTTCTGTGGAGTGCAGAAATCTGAGCAGCCACACTCCATTCTCCACTAGCATGACATCCACATTCTCATCTGGAAGAGTAATTTGTGATAGGGGAAAGAACTGGGCAAGAAAGAAAGGGAGATGAGTACAACCAGGTCCTGATGCTGCTGCTGGAGTGGGAGGAGGCCTTTTGGAGGATGCTCAGGAGAAATGAACAGAACTGCTGGGTTGAGAGAGGACAGATGGGTGGTGGCCAAGTCTGGCAAATGGAAGACATAGAAGCCAGCAACACACAGATAGCCCAAGGAAGTCATGTCAGGAACAGGGGAATTTAGGCAAAGTGAATAAGTAAAAAAGAGAGCAAATTGTTAAAGTACCCTGTCCCAGTTTTAATTGGAACCCCCAAAAAGGAATAGAGCTAGAGCTTTATCCTGGGTACCCTGTTCTTCTTGTAGGCTGTCTTTAATCCTACCCATCCCACTCCTTTTCTAGTTTTTTTCTCTTCTTCCACACCCTCAGTTATTGAAACATTTCCACATGAAAGATCTACATGATGTCATCATCACCCCAACCATCAGGAAAAACATAATGCAATTATTTTAATAAACAAGAAAAACAAAGGGAATATGACTAAGTCCAGGGAAAACCAGGCAAGAACCCAAAACATTGCGTCTCCAGGAAAGCAGCTGAAGGAATATCCCTCTGATCACATCCAACAGCACCTCACGGAGCTTGGATGATTTTTTGTGGCCGAAAACTATTTTTCCAAGATATTACAAGGGAGTAAAAGTACTATTTAAAAACCCCTTTCTCCAAAGCATCTTAAGGTCTACAGCACAACTTTTTTCTTTGCTTCCATTCCTTGTTTTAGTTCTGTTCCAAGAAACACAAAAATTGTCTCTCTTGGGATTTCCATTTCCTGGGCATCCCTTGCCAGCACATTCTACACATGGGTTAAATAAATGGAGTGAGCAGCATGGCTGGGAAGCTGTGTAAGCAAAAGAAGAAGAGGCATGCTGTCCTAGTGTGAGTTGGGAGTTTTCAGTGCCTATGTCTGGTCTAGTAGAAGAGAAGCCATGAAACATGATCCTAAAGGAAATTTAAAACCTATGTGTGTCTGGCTTTAGCTGTGAAGAGCTGGCTTTAGCTTCTCCTCTATTAGGGATGGCACAACATGACCACTGTAGGAAGTACTTATTAAGTTTAAGAACTACTGAGTTCTGGCTTAGTTGCTCCTTCTTAAATTACGTAATTACAGCATGCTCACTCTGTATAATGTTACTTGTATGTATGTTTTCAGATCTGACCATTTGGTATTGGATTGGTGTGCCTTTCCCTGAGGAAGACTATTTCTCTTGCTCTCAGCCATCCTAAATTGCCTGTAGTTTCTTATAAGTTTCTTATATATGGTTGGGGCCAAGTGGGCTTCTGTCCATCCCTATCCCTCACCCCTGAACCCTGTCCATGTTGACATGTCTATTGGTATTATCCTTGTTCAGGTCATGTTTAATCAGCCATATTGGTAAGACTTCATGTTTGCAGCTTCTCTGACATTTCTAGAGGACACACTATCACAATAAACTCCCTTTTTCTCTGGCTCTTAAAGTCTTTCCATTCCTCTCCTCTGTAATTCCCCTGAGTCATAGATGCAGGAGTTGTGATGTACATGTACACCTTGGAGCTGCCCCACCCCATCCATTAATCTCTGTATTGTGATCACTTGTGGGTTTTTTTGTGATGGTCTCCATTTGCTATAAAGAGGAGTTTCTTTGACAGAGATGATACCTATACTTATCTATGGGTAAAAGGACAAGATTTAGAATGCTGTTAGGAGTTTTGATAGTCTAGAAATTGGCAGTAGTAGATTCTTTTCTAAGATCTATGAACTTGCTAGCCCCAGGAAGCTAACTAAATTTCCAGCACCAGGGATAATTTTCCCCCTTAAGTCCAATTAGACAGCAATTGGTGGCCACTTATACATAAGTGGCACTTCTTGTACTTTTATGCATATCTTGTCATGTTAGTAATTGCTGCAGTGTCGCAGCTTGGTAGGGCTATTTCATTCAGTGACTCTCAACCTGTGGGTCATGACCCCATTGCAGGTTGGATGATCCTTTCATGGGGATCAACTAAGACCATCAGAAAACATAAATATTTATATTACAATTGATAACAGTAACAAAATTACAGTTATGAAGGAGCAACAAAAGCAATTTTATGGTTGGGGTCACCACAACATGAAGAACTGTATTGAAGGGTCACAGCATTAGGAAGGTTGAGAATCATTGGTTTAATTGCTTCTCTTCCTTGGCAGCTTGCATAGTATTTTCTGGAACCATGGAAGCTAGACCAGAAGAAAGAGGCTTTCAGGGAAGATTCAGCTCTGTAGTCTTCTGAGTTGTGTGTCCTAAGTGTGTGGTGCCTTCAGCAATAGGGGACCACATTCAACTCCAGAGAGGCAACTAAGGGCTACATCAATAATCTATGATGTTTTGGGAGTCATGTTTTAACAGACCTTCAATTCTTTGTGTAAGTTCATACATAATATTGTTTAGTGATTTGAAGGCAGTTTCTTAGTTAGGTTTTTTAGTGCTGTGATGAAACACCAAAACCAGAATCAACTTAGGGAGGAAAGAATTTAGTTTGCTTATACTTCCATATCACAGCTCATTGTCACATGCAGTCAGGACAGGAACTCAAAGCAGGAACCTGGAGGCAGGAGCTGATGCAGAAGCCATGGAGGAATGCTGCTTACTGGCTTGTTTCTCATGCTTGCTCAGCCCACTTTCTTATAGAACCAAGAATCATGAACCCAGAGATTGCACCACCCACAGTGGGCTAGACCCTCTCCCATCAACCACTAATTAAGAAAATGCTATACAATGTTGCCTACAGCTGGATCTTTTTGTTTGTTTGTTTTGTTTTGTTTTTGTTTTTCAAGACAGGATTTCTCCATGTAGTTTTGGTGCCTGTCCTGGATCTCACTCTGTAGACCAGGCTGGCCTCAAACTCACAGAGATCTGCCCGACTCTGCCTCCCGAGTGCTGGGATTAAAGGCATGCACCACCTCTGCAAGGCTACAGCTGGATCTTATGGAAGCGTTTTCTCAATTGAGGTTCCTTCCTCTAGCTTTTGTAAGATTGAAATAAAACTATCCAGCGTGGGTATCAGTCAGACAACCCACTATTATCATAAAGAAATAGGAGTAGAGAGGGGGATTATATATGGATTAAGGGATACAAAAAGGAAATTAATGCTCACTATCATTTACAGGAGATTTATGATGTCTTCTACTCTCAAAATTCTTTTAACTTTTGCTTCTTACAACTTGTTTCCTAGTCACCTTTTCCTTTAAAAAATAATGGTTGCTATAGACATGTGATGAAACACATATAACTGAACTTCCTGCCATCATAAGGACAAGGGAGTATGAAGACACCTATAAAAAGCTGAGAGGTTGAAGGCTTTCTTCACCATCCAGGGCATGATTCTCAAAGCAAAGAATTATTAACATCAGTGGGTTGATCTTGAAGAAATAATTTCAGAAAAAAAATGAAGAAATGAGAATAACATTAACATAGAGACTTCCTGCCGATATTGTGGTTTTTCAAAGCAGTAGGATTTTTACTTAATGGAAAAAATATCTCAGATGTATACTGGGGTCTTTTCCTAGACTTCCTGATAGGCATGTCTCTTGCCTCTCTACCTTTCCAAAAGTCTTTGGCAACTGGAAATACCATGATGATAATCAGATCTGGCTGAGCCATTATCTGCCCTTTGGCATGATGGTCTCTCTTTATGCTTGCTCCCCAGGGCATACATGAGTGTGAAGGAGCTAAAGGAGGCCTTGCAGCTCAACAGCACTCATTTCCTCAATGTCTACTTCGCCAGCTCAGTCCGGGAAGACCTTGCGGGTGCTGCCACGTGGCCTTGGGACAAAGAAGCTGTCAGTCACTTGGGTAAGTGAAACAAACTGTGATAGATAAAAGCAAGGATATTTGAGAAGAGTTTGTGAAAGCAAGTTTGGAGGGGGAGGCGAGAAATATGTAGTCAACGAATTAACTGCTTTAGATTGAGAATGGCTCCGGGGAGTCTAAAAAAGGTTTCCAAGTAAAAACTAAGAGGTAGTAGATCAAACACCCAGAATGTTCTAAACTGACCCTGTAATCTAGACACAGGCCAGTCCTGGTGGCATAGGCCTTTAATCTTAGCTACTAAGGATGTTGGTTCTAAATGATCACATTTCAAGGGCAAGCCTGGGCTACTTACTGAAATTGTATCACAAAATAAACAGTAAAAGAAAGATCATATTGCATTCATGAACTTTCAACAGTTACTGATGGCTGCACTGGGTCTGAATATGAATGGGCTCATCATCAGCCAGACAAGTCTAGAAGAAAGACTTGGGGGACCCTATCTCTCACTGTTAGATAGATTCAGGGAAAGGGGAGTCATTGCCTTCAGTTGTATATTCACAGGTGATACAACCAGGCTCCAATGGGTAGTCATAATCCAGTGATCACATAGGTAACTATGATTAAGATAAATGGATCACAAAACATTCATGAATCTGGGAAAGGAACAGGTAGTTGGTGGGACTAATAGGGATCTGAGGGATTTTAAAAAGGGTATGAGGGAGAAAGTAGCCAGAATGTAGCATACACATGTATAGAACTGCCAAAGAGCTAACTACAGGGGAAAAAAAAGAGGGCTCATTGTCATGGTTCATATGTATAATGCCAGGCATGGATGTTGAGACAAGAAATATGAATTATCACTTCTTCAAGATTACCTTGAGCTGCAGAGTGAGATCCCTACTCAAAAAAAAAGAAAGAAAACAACAACAAAACCCCTAAACAACAGCCATATAACCCTGCATGCAAATAAATTGTCCAGGTGAGGTCCAATTTGCTGGATCCATTTTTAAGTCTTAGAGGGGCCTAAAGGGAAAAATATCACTCAGGTGGCCAAAGTGCAAAATCTGTTTGGTAGTACTGTACTATGAAGCAGGTGGGTCTCTTGCTTAGCTCAGACACTTAAGGAGACCCTAGGAAATTCAGACAGCTTTCAGTCACACATTTCCAGGGTGACTAAGTAAACTGTGTTCATGGTACTATGTTCTCCATGAAAGCCAGTGTAAATCATTGTAACCTTCCTAGTGACAATGGATGGACTAGAGAGTCCTAGTCAAATAATCCAATCAATAGTGAGTTTGGATGATTTGAATTGCTTCATCAAAACAACAGTAGCTAAGAGGATGCAAAGCGCTGTGGGGCAGTACCTTTCTAATCACCAAGGGTCACCTTTCTGGTAGATGTGTGAAGGGCTCTGGCAGCAAGGTACAGGCAGCAGCTGCTGGGTCTCAATCTCAAATCTTAAAAAGTCATTCTTCTGTTCTTTATGGGAATAAATTTGGCCATTTGACAAGAGTTGTTGAGATGGAGTAGATTATTGAATATCTTCTAATTTTATTAGATATGAAAAAAGAGTCAATATTCATTCAGTAATACAAAAGTAGATAAACTGCTCATACATTAGCTGCTTGATGACATCAGATCTAGTTTCCTTCAGACTCACCAGTGAGACAGAGTTCAGGCCCAAGACCCAGGGACATGGAAAGCACAGAAGTGGGCCTGAATATTTGCTAATTATTTAAGTATTCATTCTCAGAGCCAAAGCCTAGAAAGCAAGTCCAAAATGACTTCTAAGAGATTAAAAAAGTGGAACAGGGATTTCGAAAGTCACATAAGAGAAGGGAAAGGAAGAAAATGAAGTTGCTATCCTATCAAGGAGAGGATTACTAAAGACATTATACACCAGGGCAGAGTGGGCTGCTTTATAATGGGCTTAAAATCCAACCAGAAACACTCTCAACTGGTATTTACAGGAAATCCTCCTGCCTATGTACTAAGTGGAAACCAAAGGAAAATGCCTTCTATATATTACCGTCAATACCGTCAGGAGCACCCTACACAATTTTATGTATAGTATCCAGCAGTCAATCTAAAATCACTTGATATTTTCAGGAAATACAGTCAAATGATGTAAAACAAAACCAATTCAACAACAAAAACAAGACAATATGACACATAAATTATTTAGATATTAGAGTTTTTAGACACTGTGCTAATATACATAATTGACCAATGTGTAAAAATGCATAAAAGCTTGGGAGTTGTTTAGGAGAACTGGGATCTATAGGAAATCATCAAGTGAAAATTTTAGAAAAGTAGTACTAGTAATTCAAATTTAAAAGTTAGTAGAAAACCAATGATAAAGAATTAAAGCCCTAAAAGAAATTCTATAAATTGAAACTCAGAGAGGAAAATGGTGAAAAGATAAGAAAACATCTTGAGAAATATTTAATTGGTTAGATTATTTAATTAAAATTGCTAATGAAATTGGAGTACTAGAAGAACAGAAAGAAATTGTAATAGAAATAGTATTCAAAGAGATAATATCTGACCACCTTTCAAACTGACAAAATTTACCAATTCGCAGATCAAATACATTTTATAAACTCTGAACAAAATAGGTTCAAGAAGATTATGTCTGGACCATGGCAAAGTGATATAAACCAAAGACAAAGTGAAAAATCTTCAAGTCAGACAGTGGAAAAAAGATTTGTTATCTGAAAAGTATGATAATAAGACAATATTGTATCTCATCAATATAAGATCATACAGCATGAAATATTGGCATCATGATATCTTTTAAATGTTAAAGAAAATAGTTGTTAACTTAAAGTTCTAAATTTGACAAAAATATCATTTGAAAAGGAAAAATATAAAATATTCTCAGACAAATAAAATCAGAGATAATGTATATGAGTGCTGAAAGACATCCTGGAAAAGGTTAGGAAGCAAGAAGAAAACAATCTTGGTTAGAGACAGAGAGATAGAAAGTAACTGATGATGCTAGAGAGTGAAAATATCAAAAGCATACAGCAATGCCTTTAGCTTTATTCATATGTAGAATCAAAATGTAACAAAAATATTACAAAAGACAAAAAAGGGACAGGAAATGAAAGCATTTAAAGATCTCCGTTTTCCTCTGTTGAGAAAAAGCACTGATTTCACAACATTAAAAGCCACGTTGTCATCCTTAGATTCTTTTATGTCTAAAGATTGATTGATTAGTAAGACAGTAACCAACTGAGGCTGGAGCGCTGGCTCAGTGGTTAAGAGTGCATACTGCTCCATTGCAGAGGACCCAGGTTCAGTTCCCAGCACCTACTTCGTGTTCTCTCAACAGCCTGTAACTCCAGTTCCTGGGATTCTGACACCCTCTTCTAGATGCTGTGGGTACCCATACTCATGTGCAAATATCTACACACACACACACACACACACACACAGACACACACACACACACACAGACACACACACACACAGACACACACACACACACACACATACACACACACACATGCAATTAAAAAAATCTAAACAAAAGAAACTCTGAAGAAGAAAACCTAATATAGTGATTACATTAACATTAAATGGACTTTTGGCCCCAGGTCAGACTAAAAGGTTGTCAAACTCACAATAAACCCTGTTACCTGATGTTCATAAGAGACCAATGTTAAATCTAAGAATACAAATGGTTAAAGTGAAAGTACAGGGAAGTAAAACAAATACCATGCAAATACTAATCCAAAGGAAAACAGCTTTCTAACATCATATGAAGTACACTGTTAGGCGGAGTATCAGAAACAAATAAAGCTCGTTTTATAAAAGAGTAAATTCAATTAGAAGATGTAATGGTGATGAATTTGGACACAACCATTCACATGCCTTGAAAAAACATACTCATATATATATAAACAGACACAGTCATAGCTGGTAGTTTTAAATAATTTTCTCAGAAAAGATATGACAAGTAAACATTCAGTAGACATATAGAGATTTGAGAGATATGATTAAAAATTTGACTCAATTAGCAGAATCAATCTGTGTCTTTACACAGAGCAGAACACACGTTCTTTTCATATGGCATGGAAAGTTATCAAAGGAGTTCATGACCACAGAGTAATTTCAGAGGATGGAAGTCATAAAACTTTTCTCTCTCATCTCATTGTAAATAAGCTGGAAATCAAATAATAAGACAATAAAAATGAGGAACCCCCTGAGTATTTAGAAATTAAGCAATATACTTCTAATTAACCATAGGCCAAATTATAGTGGAAACAGGAAGCTATTTTAAATGATTATAACAACATGTTATACAAAAATTGTCATGCATAAGGAGACACAAGCAAGGGAACCTTACAGCTTTATAGAAAAGAAGGAAGTCTGCATATCAAGTCAGCAACAAATAGCGTATTAAACTCAAAGAAGGGCACAAGTGTTAAAATCAAGACAAGAAACAAATTTGTTGAAAATATATTTCCATTAGAAAAAAATGAACAGAGCTAAAGGTTTAGAAGAGAGAAAACAAGTCACGGGGGGAAGTGGATCGATAAGTTCCTAAAAAGACAAACTCATCAGTAAAAACAATGACAGAAAAGGAATCTATTCTATCATAAAAAAAATAAAAGAGGTGGGCTGGGCATGATAGTGCACACCTCTAATCCCAGCACTCAATAAGCAAAGCAAGGCAGACAGATCTCTGTGAGTTCAAGGCCAGCATGGCCTCCACAGTGAGTTCCACACCAGCCAGAACTGCAGATAGCTTCCACATAGCTTGAACAATCAATGGTTATTTTCAACTAATGGTTTTGGAGCAGTTGCATACCCACAGGCAACAGATAATGAACCTCAGTCTGAACTTTGCAACGGATAGCGAAATTAAGTCAAAACAAAGCATAGACTTAAGTGTGGAAAATGAAAGTATAAAACACCTAGTAGAAAATATAGGCAAAAAATTTTGGGACAGGGCTAAGCAAAAAGTGCATATATAAGATAGCGAAAGCATGGTTTAGGAAAATAAAAACTCACCAGCAATATAAAAACCATTT